TGTTGCTCAACAGAAGCATGAATCACAACAGACCATGAAATGTTCTAGTGTGCAGTTCATGGACTGGAAAAACTACCCCTGCAAGCATTGGCAGCTACAGATCCTCTATTGGCAGTCATTTATGTCCTCGAGGCACAAAAGCAATTCCTAAAGGCCTAAGGGTCCTGAGGGGTCGGAACTGGAACATCTGGGATCAATCCAAGCGGGCTAAAAAAACAAGGGAACTCTATGGAGGCTGACAAGGAGGCATTTGGACGCAATAATCATCTAGCAAGTTCTTTGTTGGCTCTTAATTTCATCAGCCTTCTCTTCTTTACGATTAGCAGCGGTTTGCTTGCTCTTCTCTTATCTACTTGAAGGTCTGAGGGCTGCTGAAGGATATTCAGGGGGAATCTGAGCGGGAAGCACCCTTCAAGACTATGGCTGTGTTGGCCACCAGTAGGGCTTTGCTTCGTAGACAACATTCTAACTGTTCTTTTGTCATAATGAGGAGTACCAACCAACAGTTTCAGCGCACCTTTCCAACAATCAAGTTCTATTGGGAGCAATTTAATCCTGTACACAAATACTTGTCCGTTTCCTAAAATTGCATTACGATATCATGTAAACTACAGCTAAGTTTAACTTACAAGCCATAGTTCAACAAGCCCATATATCACAAAAATGGATGGACAAAATAAAGCACGCAAATAGAGAGAAACAGCCATCACATGGAAAAGTGGCTCACATAACCTAGAAATAGAAACAGGCATAATTAAAATGATTATCTTCAGGTATGTGGAGATATATACACCAAGCAAGGAATAACAAGTAAGATATGAGGCAACGTGGCAAACTAATAAGAAAGCATCAGCATGGAAAATGAGAAATGTGATACGCAGATAAGAAAAAGACATGAACGGAAGGAATATCATCCCAGTAAAAGAAAGATCAAATGTCAAAAGCACTGCAAAAATCATAAATAATGATGCAATCTGATAAGTCAAAGCCTTAACAAGTCATAAATATAGTGGATGAACTGCATCCATGTCTATAGCTAGATAGGTGAAGAAACTATACAATATGCATCTGCTCCCAAACAGATGGTACAATGTGTAAGAAGATGATAATGATACTGATTTTGTTATAGAGCTTGAAAGAATCAGCAGTGTTGCAAAGGACGTATATTGTAACATTTGCAAATAAACAGAACATAAAGACAGAACATAAAGACATGAGTCGTCCTCGTCCAAAAAAAAAAAAGCAGTAACTTTATTCCATGCCAAAAATCTACTTAAAAACTAAGCAATAGTTTCAGGATTCAAAAAATATGCTGCATAAAGAACAAAACTCAAAAGGTGAGGCTCTCGCAACATGCCTTTGTGGTGGAGAGCATCATCAGAATTAGGTTATGAAAATGATCACTAAATTACTTCCATGTTTAACAGAATTACTTAAGGTCATTATGATTGACGGCAAATCTTTTGCTCTACAAATTTAATGTCTGCAAACCAAATCCAACCAAGTGGATATACATGCTAAATGCTAAAATGTCTAATTTGCCAGCATTACAGCAAAAGCAGCACAAAAAAATAGTAAATTACCATGCATTTAATTTATTTGAAACAATTTGTAACAACTCTCTACAAGGCAAACATAAAAAATTCTCACGCTAACCTTCTTCCTTAACACGCACATCTCAATATTCCAATACAAACTAATTTAGAAAACAATAAGACATAACAAAGGATTGCAATGTATCAATTATCTCCATCAAAAATTGAATTGCAATCACAAACTTTCAGCAGATACTGAATTCACTTGTAAATATGAGCCCTTAGAACTTCAAAGCAATTATAGAGGATGTAAACATGAGAATAAGCAGCATAAGTGTTAGAAGTGGAGCCCGGTCCGACCCCCGCTACTGCTCACCCGATCGCGAAACATCGGATCTCCCGCTCCGCGCTCCTGCTTTGATCGTGAAACAGTCGTGATCGTTCCCACCTGGAGTCGATTCGCAAACCGTAAGCGTCAACCGCTCCCGCCTTCCTCTGTTGCGAAGCGAAGCATCCCTTCGTTCGTTCCTGTTCGTGATAAAAGCTTTGGATGACTCTCATTGGGTTAAGAAGTCGCGGTGTTCTTCTTCGGGCTTCCTCGGGATAGAAGGAAGGAAAGTGCAAGAGATAGTTCCTTGCGGTAAAGAAGAAAGAAGAAGAAGATTGTTCTCCCTAGGCTTCTTCTTGGTGGCTGGTGGCAGAAGAAAAATTATGTTTATTTCTCTTGTACGTGTTTCTTCTTCGGTGTATCTCGGTGTAAAGTTTATTCGGCGTATCTCGTTGTAGAGTTTTTTCGATGTATCTCGGAGTGGAGAGAGCAACGAAGTGAGAGATTCCTCTTATAAGTTGAAGTGATCGACTGTTATAAATTCGTCAAGTAGAAAAATTTACTACAACTCCGTGGACGTATACAATTTGTCGAACAACATAAATCTGTGTGTTTCGGTGTGTCACTGTTTTCTGGTGTGAATTTTTCTCGTTCTATTTTTCGCTTCGTTGATTGTTTCTGGTGTGAATTTTTCTCGTTCTATTTTTGTTTCGTCGATCGATCAACTGATATATCTATAGATCTCGCAACAACAACTGATGGTATCAAAGCGTGGTTTCGGATCTGAGGAAGAATGATGGTTGTAGATGAAGTTGTAGATGAAATGAAGGTTTCAAGGATCGAGAAATTTGATGGCACAAATTTTGATTATTAAAGAATGCAGATAGAGGATTGCATTTATGAGAATAAACTTCATCTTTCGTTATTGGGAAAAAGACCTGAAATGAAGAATGAGGTTGAATGAAATTTGTTGGATCGACACGTTCTGGGAGTTATTCGATTGACCTTATCGAGGTCAGTTGCACACATAGTCGTCAAAGAAATGACGACTGCAGATCTCATGACAGTTTTATTTGTATGAAAAACCATCGACGAATAACAAGGTGCACATGATGAAGAAGTTATTTAATTTGAAGATGGCGGAAGGTGTTTCTGCTGCTCAACACCTGAATATTTTCAATACTATCACAAATCAATTGTCATCTGTGGAAATTGATTTTGATGATAAGATATGTGCACTGATCTTGTTGATTTCATTGTCAGATAGTTAAAAAGTTATGAGGATAGCAGTTAGCAGTTCTGCAGGTAAATCTAAACCGAAATACGATGATATTCGTGATTTGATTTTGACTGAGAAAGTTCGCAGAAAAGATTCTGGCGAGGTCTCAGGTTCGAGTTCGACACTGAATGTTGATTTCATAAGGAGATAATATGACAGAAACTTGAGAATAGGGAGATCAAAATCAAAGTTTAGTAAGCAGACAATCTGCTGTAATTGTGGCAAGACTGGCCACATAAAGAAGAACTGCAAGAATCCTAAGAAGATGGAGAATGATAGCGCAAATGTGGTATCTGAAGAATCACAGGATGCACTGCTGTTGACAGTTCATAATTATGTTGAAGACTTGATATTGGATTCAGGGGCTTTGAATGTGGTAGAAAATCTACCATAGGCCATAGTATAGGGCAGTGGAAGTGAAGAGGAAAGTGGATCCGAGACACTCATTCCTATTGTTCCACAGACAGATGTTGAAGAACCACAGAGCTATAAAGAAATCTTGCAAGATGAAAGTTCGAGCAAGTGGAAGCTGACAGAACTTCCACCAAGGAAGAAGGCATTGCACAACAAGTGAGTATACCAGGTGAAGACTGAGCGTGATGTCAGTAAGAGGTACAAGACTAGACTAGTTAAAAAAGGCTTTCGGCAGGTGCAGGATATTGCTCATGCAGTTGGAGTTGTAATAAGAGACAAGAGTGACCCAATATATAGCTTGGAGGTACAAAGCTATGTGAAGTCTGCTGATATGTTAACTGAGGGTGTTACACTTGAGAAACTGAAGTTGTGCACAGCTTCAGTTGATTTTCTGGAGTGAAGACAGAGACTTTGAGTTGCAGAGGTAGGGGATTCAAGGTGGAGGATTCACACTAGAGGATTCATGGTGGAGGTAATCAGTTTGAGGAATGAGATATTGTAGTTTGTGTACCGGTCTCCAAGTGGGAGATTTGTTAGAAGTGGAGCCCGATCCCCCGCTTCTGCTCACTCGATCGCGATCTCCAGCTCCGCGCTCCTGCTTCGATCGCAAAACAACCGCGACCGTTCCCGCCTGGCGTTGATTTGGGAACCGTAGGCGCCAACCGTTCCCGCATTCCTTTGTTGCGAAGCGAAGCATGCCTTTGTTCCTTCCTGTTAAAGCTTCGAATGGCTCTCCTTGGGTTGAGAAGTCACGGTGTTCTTCTTCGGGCTTCCTCGGGATAGAAGGAATGAAAGTGCAATAGGTAGTTCTTTGCGGTGAAGAAGAAGATTGTTCTCCCTAAGCTTCTTCTTGGTGGCTTATGGCAGAAGGAAATTGGGTTTATTTCTCTTGTACGTGTTTTTTCTTTGGTGTATCTTAGTGTAGAGTTTCTTCGATGTATCTCGATGTAGAGTTTCTTCGGTGTATCTCGGAGTAGAGAGAGAATAACAGAAAGAGACGAAGTAAGAGATTCCTCTTGTAAGTTGAGATGATCGACTGATGTAAATTCGTCAAGTAAGTCTAATTGATCGACTGGTGTAAACTCCTCAAGTAGGAAAATCTTCTGCAACTCCGTGGACGTACGCAATTTTCCGAACCACGTAAATCTGTGTGTTACATTGTGTTGCTGTTTTTTTGTGTGAATTTTTCTCGTTTTATTTTTCGCTTCGTTGATCATTCTACTGTTTGATCTATATATATACCACATCAACTGATATATCTATAGATCTCGCAACAACAATAAGATTATACCGTAAATGCTCCAAAATAGTCTAATAGATCTGATATATAGCAAGAGGCCAGCAAATTATAAGAAAGAAATAAATTTAAAAGGAAGAAAGAGGCCAGTTTTTCAGCAAATTATAAAAATGAAATGAATTATAGAGGCAGAAGACAGCTAAGCAATAATAGTTCAGTAATTCAATGAAGCCGTCCAGAAAATGGTTTTCCTTTCAGAAAAGGCGTCTTGAATCAAGGCAACAATCAACAAAATTTGATTCAATCCATATGCCTTCATAGCAGTCAAAAGGTAACTGTAAATGTAACAAAATACATGCACTAAAAAAGCAATGTAGGCAGTGATTAGAATAGATTGGGGCGTGTAATGCATATCCTTCGAACTCTATCCGCCAAAACTCCCAGCAATCAAAGTACCTAAAATCAGGAAAAAAAGGTTACCTATCATCAGCATGGTAGAATGTGCACTATCTTCATGACACCAAATGGAGTCATCAAGAAAGCAATAACCGCAAACCAACCAACCTATGTAAACAGTCAAGACTGATAACTCCAACCTCATGTAGTATTCTTGCTATCTTTTCTTCAATATATTGCAAAAGAATATCAGAAGCCTGTAGCCATTCTCCAGTCCTCAACCATTGCTACCGATAACCTCGGTGCCGCCAAAATGATTACTCCTACGAAGCTTGGCCTCATTGGCATCATCACTGACAGCAACATTCACGTCATCTTCTCTAGTCTTCTTATGAACAATTTTACAAAAGAAATCAGTCAAGATCGTCTCATAAGCCGGCATCTTCGCATATCCGGGGAAGTAGTTTATGTCAATCACGAAGTAATGGTTGCCAGAATTGGAATCTCTTATGACATCAAAATTGAAAAGATTCAATCTCATCGCTCGCCTCAGACCCCTTGCAATATCCGTGAGAAAACTGAGGGGCGGCAACTCGGCCTCCAGTCGCATGCTTTCATAGTATTCCTCCTGGGTTCTGTCCTGGGCCGTCATGTTAGATACCTGAGAAAACGACAGGGAACCCTCAGCGCCGTCCAACTTCTCCAAAGAAACATCCGGAAGAGACTTCCGCTTCACGCACTTAACATAATCTCCGACGACGTAGACCTTGAAGATGACCCCACCGTGATTCACAAATTCTTGGAGAACAAGCGGAGGCTTCAGCTTCAGCAGTCCATCCCGGTGGTATACCAACGACATTTTATGGGATTTGGCACTACCGTCGGCCACGAGAGGCTTCGCGATGACAGGGAATCTCAAGGCAGCAACGGCTCTCGAATCCGAAAGAAACATAGAATCGTAAACAACGATCTGGCTCGGAATCCCGAATGTCTCCTTCTCCTGTGGTATCTCCAGCTCGGAAACAACCTGTAGCATCGAGATTCGGTTATGGAGCCGCTCGATGGCATCCGGATGGTCGATGATGGGAACAAAAGGATTGTTCTCGGCGTACTCCTTGAGCTGTTCCCGCCAATCCTCGCCACAGATTTTATGAATCACGCAATCGAAAGGTCCCTGCGCCGAGAGGGGACGATTGGTGTCGATGGGGACGAGATCAACCCCGCGTTCCCTGGCCAGATTCACGAGCGAGGGCTGGATGAAGCTTTGTATCTTCTTGGGAGCGAGCGCGTAGCCTATGCTAAATCTCCGGGACTCCGCCATGGATTGCACAAGATCCAGGGAAGAGAGGCCAATTCCACCTCGATCTCCAATATCCTGCAAGAACAAACGACATTAACGAAGCCAACCCGACGAGAATAAGAAGTATGATTCCTCAGCTAGGGCATACCAGGGAATAAACATAGAGATTAGGGTTTTCCGTCCTCCTGCGCAACAGAGCGAATAAAGGAGAGAATCGGAGCAGAAGAATGAACTCGGGAAGGACAAAGCCGGTGAAAAAAATGGAGAGGGATGCGGTCACGCTTCAGTTGCTTACCGCTAGTCCTTTTCAGCGTACCACTGGCGGGAGGTGACTCGAAACAACGGCGCATTGGTGTCACGGTGTTATTTGACTTTTAAAAGAGGCATTCTGTAGACAACGTCAGCGGCTGATGGGACTAGGGAAATCAAAAAGCGGTTCTTAAAGAGCAGCAAAGATGGCCCCTCTTTTTTTTTTGGAAACGAGTATCACGCCCGGCTAATCAAAAAAATAAATAAATAATTCAAAACAAAAATATTACGCAGAAAACACCGCCGCCTAAAATCTCATTTTATTATGTTTTTACCTTTCGATACCTCTTTTCTTCATATTTTTTATATAATCTGGAAAATAATTTTATTCAGAAAATTTATTTCTACTATAATAGACAAGCTAGCGGCTATAAAAAAAGTGAATGTGACTGCATGAATATTTCTATAATGGTTGAGATGCAATGTTTAGAAGTAATGTGTCATCAATAAAGTTTCATTTATCACAAATTTTGAGGCATTTTTTAGTAAAAAAACATTTTGATTCTAAGTTAAAAACCATCCAATGTAATAATTACAATCCGACTCAAATCACGCTCAGATCAGATGAAAAAACATTTTGATTCTAAGTTAAAAACCATCCAACGCTTCAGTTTCAATAAACTTACGGTCAAACAGAACGATCCGATGAGACAAAACTAATGATGTAATAATTACAATTCGACTCAAATCACGCTCAGATCAGATGGATCGTTAATCCCCTTTTGGGGTTTTTGGTTGGTTGTTAGGGTGGATAAATGAACTACAAATTTGATATGTCTATAGACAAATGAAGCATCTCAATTAGAGTAATTCAATGAGCTCAATATCACCTACTTCTAAGGTCATTGACGCAATTAGATCATCAAAAAAACTCTTATGATTAAGGAAAATCAATGTAGGTCGTTCAATTTGTTTGTTATGGTGATTATTTGTCAAACGATGAAAATGATCCTCCTTCAATGCCAATAAAGAGGCTCATTCTTTTCACTTGAAGGAAAAAGATGGAGGAAGATAAATAGTTTATTTCATTGTTATTTTGGATTGAAGATCGGGGGATAAATTCTAGTCCCCATATTTGTTGGCCATCGACCACCGCTGGCCAATCCCTGCTCACCAATGTCAATGAACTTTGCGAAGTAACGACAAACTTTCCCTGTGGAGTAATGTATTACCCTATTTAGCGACAAAGTCTCCTGCATATAAAGTAAAAGAGTGTTCTTAACATTACCAACAACATACCTCGAACACATGGTATTACAGATTCGGTGATAACTCGTGTTTTCAATCTTTTCGTCTTCTTTTTTTCAAGACTCGTCAAATCGTTTATTGCCATATAATTCTATTTTTCAAGTAAATATTTCCTCTGAATTATATGAATGATCTTAAGGAAAGGAAACATAAAAGAATGAATATACGACAATAAAGACAAACAAGAGAAAGAAACGAAAAACTATCGTAAAGTAAACTTCGCGTGATAGTCCAATATCGTACATCCAAAAAAATCAGATCGAATATACCTTGGAGCAAATCCATGAATTTGACCCTACAGAAGAACCCCACAACCAAAGATTTAAGTTTGTGTTTTTGTTATAGGGTTAAGAACAACTCTCAAATGAACTTGTTACTTTGGTTAATTACATATTAGAGGATGTGAAATAAAACTCTCGATTAAAAAAATACTACTCACGCTTGCATAATGACTGTAGAGGTTGTCACAAATGACGGTTTTATCACAAGAGCACCCTAATGCCTTCAAAGATCGTGTCGATCCATATGGGCAGGGAGTGAGTCTCACGATCCCATATGGATGGATGCTTGCCGACAACCGGGACCTATGAAATAACTGAGTCACCCCATAGGGTTTACATTATGCTTCTAAGGCCTCACCGAGTTATAAGGGTAGAGAGTGAATCATCATATCCCAAATGGGTAGCGACCCATCTACAATCAATACCTGCTTATGAGAGAACATAACGAAGCATCAAAATGAGTGACATGGCTCAAAGTGGGTATAATAATGGAAGGGTAGAGCAATCCCAATCGGGGAAAGTCAGGTTAGAATAGCACATATTCATCATCTTAAGCTATTGGGACCCAAAATCTACCCCAACCCGGTCGTAAATGTAGCCGACCCAACGCAACCGAAGATCTTCTTGTCAATAATCCATAAATTGTGTCGTTCATGGGAACCACAATAGCCTAAAGTTCAAGAGAAAGAAACTCTAATCCTATGACCCTGTGTAGGCAGGAAGAGCTTCGATTGTAATTTATACCTGACAATGTGACGAGGATGCCACTAGAATGGAAAAGAAAAGAGATGTTCAACTACAAAGCTGAAAAAATACTCACAAATAACTTATTTCTCATATGGGTTAGGGAAGCTTCTAATACCTTAAGCGCATTAGACGAGCATTTAAATAGAAATTTATGTTGGGCCAATCAGGTTAGAGAAGCAAGCGAACTCCTTTTGAGGACATGTTATATGATGTGATTGTTTAATAAGTCCTAAACGTAGATGTAAGAACCATATTTGCAGCGAATCGACGTAGAATCACTTGAACCGCTTGTCTAACCAGAAGGACAAAAAATCATTCACGGTTTAAGAGAACCAGTCGGTTCCTACGTTGGCGATGCGATTGCCTCACTGTCCATCACCAACTTAAAAATGATTGTTCTGGTTCTTCTAAATCTTCTTTTACCATGGGAGAAAGCTTTTTAAGGTGATTTAAAGACTTGTCCACCACAAGAAGAAAAAAAAAGGTGTGAAGGAGAAGACAATAAGATGAAAACAATTCATACAAGGGCTTTGCATGGGGATTTTCCCTTTGAGAAGAAATGTTTCGTCAAGGAGTGTAAAAAATGCAGTTATGAGGAAGAAGAAGATTACAGTGTGGACAAAAAGTTGCTCAACAACGAGTGTTAGATTGAGGACTGGGAGTAAGAGCAGCCAACCATATCACGAGATCTCATGTCAGCGTGATAAATATGAGCCAATGGGAACCCCATGAAGGGACTTTGCAATAGATTTTAGGTCATCACAACATTTAAATTTATTTTAAAAATGATTACAATGTGATCCTTATATTTTAATTTTAATATTTTGAAAATCAAATATTAATAAATTTTAAATAATATCTCAAAATTATTGACATTATTATTCATAAATCAAGCAATCTCTTTCATCCATTTTTAAAATACTTACTCAAATATCAAAGGTCAAGATAAAATCACATCCCATACTTTTTATTTTTCAAATTCACAATGATTTGATCGTGACAAATATAAATATATCAATTCCATAATTTTAAAAACTATTTAGATACATAATTTTAAAAACTATTTAAAAACTATTTAGATAGTGGCAAGGAAAACTGGAAAACCCACAAAACCCTTAAATTGTCTATCGGCCTCGAAGATCCGAAACCCTCGCTCTCCCGCCATTATCCGCGCTCGACACCGGGAACGAAGTCTCACTCTATACGATGACGGCGCCTCCATCGCTAACCCTGAAAAAGAACTACCGGTGTTCACGGTTCCTGCAGAAATTCTACGCCGGCGGCGCCTACACCGTTTCCTCCGACGGCTCTCTCATTGCCTGCGCTTGTGATGATAAGATCAATATCATAGAAGCAACCAATTCTTTTGTGCGGGAGACCCTCGAGGGCGACGGAGAGGAAGTTACTGCTCTAACCCTCAGCCCTGACGATCGTTTCCTCTTCTCGGCGAGTCACAGCAGGTTGATCCGCGTGTGGGACCTCTCTTCTTTCAAATGCATTCGGTCTTGGAAGGTAATTTCAATAGAAGTAATTTGTGACATCCATATTATTGGTTGTAGCAAATGGTTTTGTGGTGGGAGGCGAGTGGATATCTGTTCTAATCAGGTTGTTAAAATGGCTGGTGCTAGGACAACTTTGTTCTATTTTTATTGATTTAATTTGTCAAACACAAGAATTGACGAGCGTAAACGTTTTTTAATGTTGAATTTCGCCTCACCAACCACGATATTTTTTTGGCATATAATCTTATTTACTTTTGTTCATTTTAGAAAGAATAACTGGAAAATAAACTGAATTTTGTTGATGGTTTTCTCAGTGTTCGATGTCCTCTTAAAGGAGTCTTAGAGATATTAAAGTAGCATCGGCATGACAGAAGGAATATTAACTGTGATGAGCTCTTGAAATATGCTTTGAGAAGGCTAAAATCATGTGTTAAATATTTTTTGCTACATCCATTATACTTCAATTGGATTATGTTTGTGTAATTATTTCTGTTGCTAATTTGCTATCAAGGGTTATCATATATTGTATTGCTGTTTGTTTTTTTTTTGATGTCATATTTTTTTCCAAACACCATGTCGTTTTGCTTGGAGTCCAGGAATTTATGGAAATTGAAATTCTCCATCATGAGATAATGTTATAATCAAGGTGAAAAATACTTCCTCTTGTTCTTTTGTGCATCATGAAATATTATTATAATCAAGGTGTACTTCCTCTTGTTCTTTTGTGCATCATGAAATATTGTTATAATCAAGGTGCAACATACTTTCTTTTGTTATTTTGAGGATGATTTTGAGCTATTGCTTCTTTTGACATGAAAGGAAAAGTAATCCTCTAGGGTTTTTACAGTCATAACTCTTTAGTTAATGTAATTTTCCATTTCCTTGGTAGGGTCATGATGGTCCAGTGACAAACATGTCTTGTCATTCTTCAGGAGGATTGCTGGCTACCGCCGGAGCAGATACAACCGTTCGTGTTTGGGATGTTGATGGAGGATTTTGCACGCATCTCTTTAGAGGCCACACAAGTGTTGTGACTTGCATTGCTTTCCATCCAGATCCAAAACATTTATTGGTATGTTTCCTGTAAAATTGAGCTTTACTAAATTTATGCATGTTTGTATGTGCGTTTTTTATATTTTTTCTTAATTTAATCCCCAAACAAACATCAAAATTTGATATATATGAAACCTGATTTTGCAATGTTGTTGAATGCAGATTATATGTTTGGTATGGAGCAAGTGAACAATTTTTTTAGGTGTTAAATTCGGTCCTTTAGCTCACTGAATTTAAAATCATTTGGTTCTATATTCAGCTCTGTTTTTTTTTTTTTTTTGGACAGAAAGTGGTGGAGAAAAGCTTTGCATGAATATATTTTAGGCTGTTTAGGATCACTCATTCGTTTAAACTGGCTTCCAGTAGTGCAATTGGCCCTATAAATCCAAAATATTTTCATGAGAACCTTCCTTCATCAAATTTACTATATTCAGCTCTGTTTTTTTTTTCTGGACAGAAAGTGGTGGAGAAAAGCTTCACATGAATATATTTTAGGCTGTTTAGGATCATTCATTCGTTTAAACTGGTTTCCAGTAGTGCAGTTGGCCCTATAAATCCAAAATATTTTCATGAGAACCTTCCATTTTTATCCAATGAAATAGCAAAGATGATGGTAGATCAATTAGGTGAGTTGAGGGAGTAAATTGAAAACTTAGACAATTCTGAGATTAAAATGTACAAGCCTAAAAAGTTTAGAAACTATGTTCAGCATTTACTTGATTGTTATGTATGGTTTTTTAAGTACACTTCTTTCTCATGAAAGAAAGATACATAGTTGTGGCTAACTGTCATAGATGTGTTTATGTTTTATGCTTCGGTCTCTTTTTGTTTGAATGAACCTGAATTGTCGATAGATATCGGCCTTCCATTTCTTTCATGCATTTTTTTTTGACAATATGATTGATTTTGAGACATTATTTACTCATGCACACACAGGAAGAAAACAAAATTTTCTTATCTTCTATGACCCAGTTTGACTATTTTATTAACGTTCATGTTAATGCCTTGCCAGTGAATTGTTACTTCTTCATGTCCAACTCTTTGAAATTTGTACTTGATTATAATTGTTGTCTTAACATAGTGTTTTATTGGTGAATATTACAATAAAAAATTGTCTTGTTATCCTGACAATCTGTTGCTAAGCTTGTTTTTTCTTTAATTTTGAGTTGGTACCTAAAGGGACTGAGTTATTCATATTATGATTGAAAACCTATCATTTATTCTCATTATCTTTGCATTCCATTCATTCTTTGAACGAGCAAGATACAAACAATGGTATTTTATAACGAGTCGAACACGAGCTGAGCTTGGGTTCGCTCGTGTTTGGCTCGTTTACACCCCTAAATGTGTTAAAGTATTGAGTAACACTTTTTGTTGGAGCGCATGCATTTTTGTCTCAATCTTAAATAAATATGTGGTATTTTCTGTATTAAAATAAGTCTCACATGCTGCTTCTCAAATCCCCCGCGCTGTCCTATAAAGTAAGAAATTCTCTCCAACTTCTTTGGTCATAAAATTGATCAGCCAAGTCATGAGCATATGATCTTGGATCTTCCATGAGCAATGGTTAGGATCAGTGAGCTCAGGAACTGCGCCCTCTCCCTTAAGATGTTCCTCTCTTCTCTTTGCACAAATACATAACCATGGATTGAGACCATTGAAGCAAGTTACGACCGTTGAGTTTATGGTTTGTGATAAAGGTTGAGTTTCGATACTGGTTGGACATAACTTTTGGCCTTTGAGTCACAACTAACCTTCGAGGCGGAACAACATAATTTCATTCCATAAGATCCATACTTTGTCATTAAACCTTTGCATGTTTCATGGCAAGACTACTGAATAGCTAGTTCTTGTCAGAGGAAGTTTCGATAGAAGACAAACTAAGAGGAAAAAAGAGATCCTTGTGACCGAGGGTCTGTATTTTAGTAGAGGAGTCCGACAGAATCAGGTGAAAAACTGGTGAAGATGATCTAATATTATGGAGGGGCATGCACTAGCAGAAGATAGCGACACTGAGACGATTTGGTTCGATCGCTAACTTGAGACTATCATGTGTTCGAACCCCATTGACGAATGTATTCAAACTTACAAAAGGCATCGATAAGTTGTAGATGTTCGAACTCAGCGCAGATGCATTTGAACTTAGAGAAGGCAGCGACAGAGACATTAAAACCTAGAGATGTAGGGAAGGCAATGGGCGAATTGTTCGAAGAAGAAACCAGTATGACAAAAGAGATTAGGGTTTATTCTTTAATACCACAAAGGATAAAGAGAGAGAGAAAATTCTCTTATTCCTTAATCTTCAAATTACAACTCTCATTATATAAAGAGTAGATTTTAGGGCAAGCATAATTCCCACAATTATAACCTACCAAATCACAGCCAACATAGAAGGAAAGAACTACAATAATAATACAAAAATAAACGAGGACAACTCTAAATAGGAAACACCTACTTCCACAGGGTTATTATGAAGGGATGAGTTATATTGTACATATTTGATATTTACAGATTTTTTCATCCTTAGCATATAATAAAGCTTCCCATATGATGATAAAATTAAGATTGCATCCCGTATGTAATTAAGATTGCAGTCTGTATGTTACTATTAAACTTTTTTACTATTGCAACGATTTTGAAGCCATTTTTATGAGCGGGAATGAGTGCCTTGCTATGGATCTGCTAATCCCAGAGTGACGAATAGTTGAGAATGAATTTACTTTTGTATGGAATTATTATCTATCATCGAAATTTAATAAAGTGGTAAAAATAGATTGAGAACATTTGACAACTAATGATATAATGGTAAAAAAAGCACGGAGTTTTTTTGCTAGGATTAATGTAGAAGATAATTTAGATAAGATACTGTGTAGTTGATGATGACATGTTTAGGAAGTGTTGAAATTTTTTCGCCTTGTTTAGGATTTGTAGAAAAGGCAGAGCAAAAAGAACTGCAAGGAATGATTTAAAAATTGTCTGAAATATTTTGGATCGTATGATAGTGGCTATTTTTTATTTTTTATTTGCTTTGTTATGAGAATTTGATCTCTTTAACAATGCCTGTTGTTCTGTTCAGTTGTTTTCAGGAAGTGATGATGAGAGTGTACTGGTTTGGAATCTTGAAAGCAAGAAGCGCATTGCAGTACTTAAGGAGAGTGATACTTCACGTATTTCTTCTTTGGCAATTTCTGAGGATGGAAGGAGTATGCTTGTTGCAGAAAGAGGAGGGGTGAGGCAAATTGAATTTTGTTTCATGCTGCAAATAATTTCCACTGGCTGATTTATAATGTATTTGGCCATCTTCCTTCTATTTTTTTCTAAGCTTGTTATTTTGAAATAGCGAAGTCTTGGAGCATTGAATATAATATAAAAACCCTTTATTAATTATTGTCAGCATATGCAAGGTTTAATGCATTTTCATCATTACTAAAAAATCATAATGTAGCTGCTGAAATCTGAAATCTGAGCAGATCTTTTTTTTTCTTCTTATTGCTCTAATTGAAAACAATGATCCCGGGTCATGATATTGGACGAGACAACACCAACACATGTGCACTACATTGCGATGCTACTTTCTGATTAAGCCACCTAGAAAAGGACAACAACCAGTCCAACTAGCCGAGCAAGTAGTCTAGCTTTCCATTCCTAATGCACCATATCAAAGATAAGAAAATAAATTAAACTATAATTACACATTGTGTCAATTGAAAACCCGCAGTAATCATAATTTTTTTTAAAAAATGAGTACAATAAATGATATTCTTGATTATTATTTTGGATTTTAGGATTATTTTCCAACTAGTCTTTGATATCTTACTTTATTAATTGGCGGGCTTTCTCCTTATAGACCTAATTTTTTATTGGATCCGTAGGAGTGCTTAGCGGCTTTGGGTGTAAATGAGCCAAACATGAGTGGGCCCAAAAATTGTTTGTGTTCGACTCATTCAAATTTTACTTTAGCGTATGATTTTGTTATTGCTAATATTTTAGTTAAGAAAAGAGACGCACATATTATTACTTTTAAAAATGGATCTAATAGAACACACATTTATTATTTTTTTATAAGAAAAAGAGATCGTCGAGAATGTAAAGATTGTAAGGTCATTCCTAGTGAAAATTTGATAACTCAACATTGATTATTAGTTCTGAATTTTAAGGTGAAAAGTTGTAAGATAAAAAATGTTAGGAAACATTGCGATAGAATTTGATCAGGGTACCTAAAAGACATAAATAAAATTATTTTTATTAGTAAACTTCAAGATTTGAGATGTTAAATATACTATTAAACAAGTGAAAAAAGATGTATTTGGAGAATCAAAAGGAAAAAATTTTATAAATAAAAATAGTTGGTGGTAGAATAATATTGTGCAAGAAAAAGTAAAATATAAGTTGTGTTATAAAAATTGGTTTAAATGTGAAAACTTAAAAAACTAGGAAAAATATAAGGTGGCCCGTAGGGAGTCTAAGAGTATAATGTTTAAGAGTATAATTTTGTGATGCTAAAAATTTTATTTTTAGTGATCTTTATAATAGACTATATACCAAAGATGATGAAAATATATGTATAAACTAGCCAAGCAAAGAAAAAATAAAATTAAACATTTAATTCAAGTAAAGTGTTTTAAAGATGAAAAAAAAATTTCTTTTAAATAAGTATATTAAACATAGGTGGGTGAGCTATTTTGATAAAATTTTTAATGAAGTTTTTAAAAGTACGATGGAACTTCGTGATCTTAATATCATTAATAATAATGAACGTTTTATTTTTACCGTCACATTAGTAAAAAAAATGTTGAGGGGTTTTTAAAGAAAATCAAAGATGTAAAATTTGTGGGACCTGATAATATCCCAATTGAGTGTGCAAGTATTTAGGAGATTTAGGAGTTTATTGGCTAACTAAACTCTTTAGCATTATTTCAAGAACTAAAAAGATGCCTGAGGAGAGGAGAAAGAGTATTTTGGTCCCCATTTTTAAGAATAAAGGGGATGCACAAGTGTGCAAACTATAAAAGAGTTAAGTTGATATGTCATACTTTAAAATTATGAGAGAAAGTAATTGAACATAGGTTAAGATGGGATGCAAATATTTCTCTTATTCAGTTTGGATTTATGTCGTGTGGGTCTACCACGAAAGCTATACATATAAGGAGAATCTATATATATTTTTTGTTGATTTAGAAAAAGGATACATGCTACTTTCTGATTAAGCCACCTAGAAAAGGACAATGACCAGTCCAACTAGCCGAGCAAGTAGCCTAGCTTTCCATCCTAATGCACCATATCAAAGATAAGACAATAAATTAAACTATAATTACACTTTGTGTCAATTGAAAACCCGCAGTAATCATAATTTTTTTTTTAAATGAGTACAATAAATGATATTCTTGATTATTATTTTGGATTTTAGGATTATTTTCCAACTAGTCTTTGATATCTTACTTTATTAATTAGCGGGCTTTCTCCTTATAGACCTAATTTTTTATTGGATCCGTAGGAGTGCTTAGCGGCTTTGGGTGTAAATGAGCCAAACATGAGTGAGCCCAAAAATTATTTGTGTTCGACTCATTCAAATTTTACTTTAGCGTATGATTTTGTTATTGCTAATATTTTAGTTAAGAAAAGAGACGCGCATATTATTACTTTTAAGAATTGATCTAATAGAACACACATTTATTATTTTTTTATAAGAAAAAGAGATCGTCGAGAATGTAAAGATTGTAAGGTCGTTTCTAGTGAAAATTTGATTACTCAACATTGATTATTACTTCTGAATTTTAAGGTGAAAAGTTGTAAGATAAAAAATGCTAGGAAACATTGCGATAGAATTTGATCAGGATACATAAAAGACATAAATAAAATTATTTTTATTAGTAAACTTCAAGATTTGAGATGTTAATGAAGAAGCGAGTTCTATGTGTGATAAAGTATACTATTAAACAAGTGACAAAAGATGTATTTGGAGAATCAAAAGGAAAATTTTTTATAAATAAAAATAGTTGGTGGTAGAATAATATTGTGCAAAAAAAGGTAAAATATAAGTTGTGTTATAAAAATTGGTTTAAATGTAAAAGCTTAAAAAACTAGGAAAAATATAAGGTGGCCCGTAAGGTGTTTAAGAGTATAATTTTGTGATGCTAAAAATTTTATTTTTACTGATCTTTATAATAGACTATATACCAAAGATGGTGAAAATATATGTATAAACTAGCCAAGCAAAGAAAAAATAAAATTAAACATTTAATTCAAGTAAAGTGTTTTAAAGATGAAAAAAAAAAATGTTTCTTTTAAATAAATATATTAAACATAGGTGGGTAAACTATTTTGATAAAATTTTTAATGAAGTTTTTAAAAATACGACGGAACTTCGTGATCTTAATATCATTAATAATAATGAACGTTTTATTTTTACCGTCACATTAGTAAAAAAAATGTTGAGGGGTTTTTAAAGAAAATTAAAGATGTAAAATTTGTGGGACCTGATAATATCCCAATTGAGTATGCAAGTATTTAGGAGATTTAGGAGTTTATTGGCTAACTAAACTCTTTAGCATTATTTCAAGAACTAAAAAGATGCCTGAGGAGAGGAGAAAGAGTATTTTGGTCCCCATTTTTAAGAATAAAGGGGATGCACAAGTGTGCAAACTATAAAAGAGTTAAGTTGATATGTCATACTTTAAAATTATGAGAGAAAGTAATTGAACATAGGTTAAGATGGGATGCAAATATTTCTCTTATTCAGTTTGGATTTATGCCGTGTGGGTCTACCACGAAAGCTATACGTCTATTGAGAGGTTTGATGGAGAAGTACAGAGAGAATAAGGAGAATCTATATATATATATTTTTGTTGATTTAGAAAAAGGATACAAAAAGGTTCCAAAATAATTCATTTGGAGAGTTTTAGAGAAGAAATGTGTTGATATGATTTATATTCAAGTCATTAAAGATATGTATACTAGAGCTGTTACTTGTGTTCGAATAGTAGGAGGATTGACCAAATATTTTCATATTCCACTTGAATTACATCAGGGGTCGGCTTTAAGCCCATATCTTTTTGCTTTAGTTAACGATGCTCTTATTGGACATTTATAGGAGGATGTACCTTAGTATATGCTTTTTGTTGATATCGTTCTTGTGGATCAAACTAGAGAACGAGTTCATGAAATACTTGAATTATGGAGATCTACATTTGAGTCTAAAGTCCTTCGTTTGAGTGGATCTAAAATTGAATACATGGAATATAATTTTAGTAGTAGCTATAGTGGTAGAATTGTAACTACAGGTGATCAAATCTTTATTAGATGCAAATTTTTTATATATCTCGGGTTTATTGTTCAAAGTGACGGTGATTAGATGGGGATGTTATTAGCAGCATTCTAGTTGGTTGGTTAAAATGGAAGAATGCATCTGGCCTATTGTGTGATAGAAAAATACCGCTTAGACTGAAAGAAAAAATTTAATATGATGATGGTGGGAAAATTTAATATGATGATGATTTAATATGATGATGGTGGGACCTGTAAGGCTCTATGACACAGAATGTTGACCTTTGTAAGAGAAGCATAAAACAAAGTTTAAGTGTTGTTGAGATGAAACTGCTTAGGTGGATGAGTGGCTTGACACTTAGAGATAAAATATGAGATAAATATAGCCGTGATTGGGTTGGTGTAAGTAGTGGACAAAATTAGAAATGAAATTAGAAATGGTCATCTTAGATAGTTTGGTCACATTAAATGTCGACCATTTGATGATTTGATCAGGAGAGTATATTATTTAGATTCAAGTTATGTTAAGAAAGACAGAGATAGACTTAAGAAGACTTGGGCGTATTGTATAAAAATGATCTTAATCTATTAGAATTAAATGAAAATATGACACTCAATAGGACGCAATGGAGAAAAATAATTCATGTAGTCGACCCCACTTAGTGGGATAAAGACTTGTTGTTGTTGTGTTCGACTCATGTTCGAAATAACTTATAAATAATATGTTTGTGTTCAGCTTGATTCAATTTGTTCGAATTAAGCTCGTATTCAATTCAACTCAAATTTAATTCATTCAACTCATGAAATTAAAAAAAAAATATGATTAATGAAATTATTATTATTAAATTTAAAAATAAATTTCTTTTACAGAACACATGTGGGATTCTTCACATCCGCACAATTCAAATTTTTTTATTTTTTATTTTGAAATGCTAAGTTGCTGCAATATAAAGCATTTCTTACAAAGCAAGGTCCTGAAATGCGCGGTCCACCACTCCACCCGTCTTTCCCTTGCTCTTGTAGCACGAGCTGCTTGCGGAAGGCGGAATGCGGAATGCGGAAGCGCAAGCCCCTATTCAAAAGCGCAAGCATTCAAACACATTTACATTTACAAAAAAAACACATTTACATACATACCACCCAAATTTTATGTATTTACAAATCTAACTCTTAAATTTATATTTTTTTTATAAATATGCCACCAAGTTTTTTTGTAATAATAAAAATTTAGCAATTTTTACATACTCATAAAAAAAATTATTATAAAAAATAAAAATAAATATTATTATTTAATTTTTTAATTATTTCGAGCCAAAATGAGACAAACATGAACGTAAAAACTTTTATTTATTTTCAACTCATTCATGAATCGAGCTAAAAAAATTATTTGTATTTGGCTCGCTTGCTTAGACAAGTACGGCTTCCACTGTTTGGGCTACTTTCATTCTAAAGAAGTATTTAACATGCCGAAGTCTTTAATTTAATATTATACTGCCAATAGATTTTTCACGTTATTCATCTTCTCATTTTTTTAGTAATAACAATGTTATCTACGTAGACAGTGAGAATCTCTAGCTTTTCTTTTGGAGAGATTTTGGCAAACATGGTGTGGTCTACTTAGCATTGATTGAACTCATGCTTCTTTGAAACCATTGCTGATCTTTTAAACCATGCACATGGAGATCTTTTGAGATCATATTTGGATTTTTGCTTGGCAATTTTTTTGTCTTCAATTGAAAGTTTAGGAGGAATATTCATATACACTTTCCCTTCTTAGTTACCAATTGCCATTGATGAATGCACTCAAGTTGATGGAGTTGTTAATTGAGACACTCAACTAAAGATAACAAAGTTCGAATTGATTTAACAATTGGAGCAAATTTTGAATAGTCAATTTTGTAAGATTATGTATTTTTACAATCAATCAAGCTTTAAATGTCTGTTTTTTTCCAAACATTATGCTTAATTGAAAAATCCAACCTATAGCCGGCTACACTTTTTACCTTTGGTAAATGTACTGCTTCAAAAGCTTTATTTTTTTTGTAGAGCTCAAATCTCTTTCAAAATCACAACCTTCCGAAATGTTTGAAAGCTATTTGATTGTCTTTGTAAGATACGAAAATGTAATCGGTACTAGGTATTAGATTTTATATCATGGAGCAATAAGGAGATGAAGATCATTGAAGGTTCAATGGAATCAATATGAGCAATACTTGCTCATGTCTAAAGAATTTTTGAACTCGGGTTAGATTTTTGCTTGGCTTGTCAGGTTTGTGTTTTCTTAACATCCTTTTCCTTGAATAAATGATATCCTTGGTTATTTCTTGTGTGATTCTCTAATCATTGTTTTTAGAAATGTTAAGGATGGAATGGATGGAATTATGAGGATGAATAGGAGTGATAAGGGGCTCAATGTTAGAACAAGTTTGAGATTTAGTGAATTCCGTCTAAAGTTTATATTCTTGAGTGATAAGATTCTTCCCTTGGATAGAAGTTATGGGAGAATGAGGTTGGTTCTCAAAAAAGAAAAGTGGCAAAATGGTCCCTTGATTTTTTGTAGCGGCTATCTTAGTTTAAAAGTCTATAAAGTATCAATTTAGTTCCCAAATTTTTTTAATGGGTACTAAAATAGTCTATTTGTAGGATTATTTTAGCCAATATTAACAGTCTGGGGACTAATTTGGCACTTCTATAAACTTTGGGACTAAAATGACCCCTTGTAAATAGTTAGGGGACTATTTTGGCACTTTACTCATTCACAAAATATGTTATATTTTGTATTTAATCTGCTTGAAACTTGTTGATTTATATGAATAATGGCATCATACCCAAAGATTTTAATGGGAATAGCGGAGATGGGTTTTTAATAAGGGTTATTGAATTTCTAGACATGAAAGGTCTTTCTATTGATGGGAAAAGCTGCAGTGAGTATAATTTCAACCCATAAGTATTTTGGAACATGAGAGGGTAACATAGTATATCCAATAACTTTCAAATGGTGCCTATTTTTCCTTTCAACTATTGCATTATATTTAGGGGTTAATCTTGTGATGCATTCATTTGGTTTCTTTGAATAATTTTGGATTGGTTGGTTTGTTTGGCTGACTTGATTGGTTTGAAGGCTTAGCTGGTTGGACGAAGAACCCAACAGGGAACCATTGAGTGAGATTTAATATTCCAAGGAAATGGATAAGATTTAGGAGTTGAATCTACTTGCCATGTAGAAGGTCTTGAGTAAAAGTGAAAACGAGGTCATAAATTCCTAAACACAACCCAGCATTGACAATCATTTTTTTTAATCCCAAGTTTCTAAGAACACACATATTTGAGAGAAATTTATCAACACAATTAATATCTATTTTAGTTTTTCTTATGGGCAACAAGCTGCAATTTAAATTTGGAACTAAAAGAATGGAGTCAAGTGTTGTCAATACCAATCACATTTGACAGTGGCCCATTTGTAATGCGTACCATGAGATTATCCTTACATGTGCTATATTTATGAAAAACAGTTACATTCTCAGTCATCTGATGTGGTGCACCAAAGTGCACTATCCATAGTTTAGGCATTTACTAAGGATCCTTGTATTCGATTGAGAACATACTTTTTTCTATTATTCCTCAAATAGAATACATGGATCCCATGTCTAGATATAAGACTGGATAACTCCAACACTTCCACTATGCATTGCAACATTGCTCTTAATCAAGCTATCTGAGAAGGGTAGGACTATTGTTGGCTGAAGCCGCCCAATAAGCAAGAATATTTTCTTTCTTAAGACACCATACAAAACAAATAAGGAAATAAATTATACTGGAATTGCACAATGAGTTAGTTGACAATCCTTTGCAAACACAATATGAAAAAAGAAGGATTATGATAATCAATTTCTTGAATTTTTATTTCTTGTGTATCCTATGTGAACCAAAAGTTGACATAAAGTAGCATATCATTGAAGTTCGAATAAGAGCATTTACAAGTTCAAGTGCATATGAGGGTATTTGGAATGGGCATGCTATGTTGATTCTTTTGTTTTAAGTATTTATGCTTTATTTTATCTCAACATAAGCGTGTCATTCCACTTATTCATTTAGGACGTGTTGCATGTATATCAATATTTTATATTCACCAATGTCTTAAATGGGCATTAGTGGAAGCATTTTACTCATCATGCTTGAATATAACAATTTTATATTTTAAATATAGTATAAATAAAAAATTGATTAAAAATATCAGTAACAACAAACATTTAAAATGAATTACATAATCAATAACCATATGATTTATATTCAATGGCTGATAAGCTGTCGTAAAAAGAAGTGAGCTGAGGGAGACAAGAAACAGCTTCGAGTGGGGTTTCGACAAATGGGGTCCCAGGAGATTACTAATTTTGCTTGGCAAATGTGTGAGGTAGGCTAATTGGTTAAGGTGCTATTAAGGCAAAAAATTCTGTCAAAATGACTTTTATCTATTAAAAAAGGAGATTTACCTATTTAAGATTTTATAATTAATTTAGGCCCACTTATATCACAGGTCGTATGCTTTGCCATAACTGGATGCAAACGGTGAAGCTCCAAGCTATGAAGCATTTGGTCCATGGGCCAGACACCACCTTGTAATGGATTGGGACATTTTCTTAGGCTTGTCAAAGACACATATTGGGATCTCCTAAAATATGTTGGAAAAAACTAGTTGTCGTTGTGATAATATCATTGTTTTTTGTTTTAAAAAAAATATTAGTGACATGTTCTTATTTAAAAAATGAAATTTTAATGGAAAAAAAAAAGTTATCTTTTAATCTCTCACAAACAGGTTGCTTGCCTTGCATCTATGTTTTATGAATTTTCAGCAGCAAAATAGCAAGCGTGTGTTTTTAAATATTTACGTACAAAAAACAGTGCAGTTACTTGATACGTCAATTCATGTTTGCAAATGATTGGCCTAGCCAATTTTGTAGATTTTTGAGCTGTACCATCTTTTATTCTATATTTTTTAAGTTATTTTTTAATTTGCTTCTCTAATTAGCAAACTAACCCACATGTCGATTCTCAGTTTTTTTTTGTTTATTTTAAGTAATTGTTTTGCATTTCTGCATAAATACATTTATTTTTGAATAATATGTAATCATTCCTTATTATGTACCAAACTATATTTCAAGCAAACCTCTATTATTTCCATTAGCTAATTTTGATCTATAGATTCTTCTGTCTTCTACTTTATCTTTTTTTGTGTTTATCCTTTGTCTACTTTTGTATGCCCGGGGAAAGCATTTGTTTGTCTGTCTTTTCTGAGCAGTTTAGTGTATCAATGTTTAATTTTTAACAGCACATGCATAATTGCTACCAGTTTTTGTGCTCATCTTCGCAAATGAATGCAGTTTATTGTGCTCCTTATGTTGCCTGTTTAGATTATTTCGAGAAACTCATGGCAAGACAATGATAGGTTGTTACCATATGGGACATGCAAAAGTATATCCGGCGGCAAACAATAATTATTAAGGAGAAGGATAACTCGTTTGAGACAGTTAACACTGTTTGCGTTGTCCCTGGTGGAAGTTTGATATCAAATTGTTTGAGCCAATGCATATCTCTAAATAAGGAGAAGAGTGTTGCTATCCACCCTATCTATTTTTTGACAGTTGGTGAAGATGGGCTTGTACGTATTTGGTCCTTCTCTAAGAGGTCTGACGAATGCTTGAATTAAAAATTTTATTTTGTTTTGGAACGCTCCAATTTGCTATTGGACTCTCATATTCTATGTTTTCGTTCTCATGCACACAGCTCTGCTGTTTGCATTTACAAGCAGAAATCTTCTGATGCAACTTGTGGGTCTGCTAACTCTGGAGTGGGGTTCGTGTCAGCGCTTGTACTACCTCTGAATCAAGGGCTGCTTTGTGTGACTGCTGATGGGCAGTTCCTTTTTTACCATCCAGAAAAATCTTCCGATGGAACATTCCAATTAATCCTGTATAGAAGGCTTATTGGTTATAATGAACAGATACTTGATATGATATTCTTAGGTGATGAGGAACAGTATATTGGTGTGGCTACAAATTCAGAGCAGGTATTTTTCTATCTTACTTTTTGAGTGTATTCTTTTATGGCCCCAGGATAGTTTATATACTTCTATCACAGTTCAGAGTGAACTGCATTTTATAGGTCCAGTAGCTAATTTGAACCTATGGAGTTGATGGGCATTAACGAGTACGGCCTAAAAGGCACTGTAGTTATTGGCAAGCCCCTATGCTGAGTTTTTTTTTTTTTTTTGGATTATTTTTGGGGGTTGGGAGGAGGGAACACTTGGGCTTCTTAATTCTCTCCACATGTAATAAGAAAACACTGGCAAACAACAAGGCTTGCCACAAAAAAATGCGTCTAAAGCTAGTGAAGACAGCCATCTTCTTTTTCTTCCTTCTTTCTTTCTTTTTCATGTAGGAAACATTTTCTATGCTTCTAAAGCCCATGTTGTGACCCATCTTCTTTTTCCTTCTTCCTTTGTGGTTTTCTGGTTCACTTGTACTCTTAAAGTTAATGATTCACACTACATATTTACACCTTATCGTACTACTTAATCAGTAGCATGGTATATTCTAGACAGCTTGGCTTAACAGTTTCTCTCTCAAATCATGTATGATTTTTCATCAGATTTCCTTCCGGTACTATGATATTGAAAGAACCAATAGAATAACTCTAGAGGTGTTCTGGTACAATTGTTTATTTGTTTGATGTATATAATATTTTTGAAAATCTAGACACTTGTTGTTGACGTTGTCTAGGTGCATGAGATTTTTGGTTAAGTCTCTCATCGGATGGTTGTCTAACATGGTGGTATAGAAATAATAGGCGGTTGGCTC